AAATAACCCGACTTTCGAGCTCGAGTTTGTTGCTTAACTGTTTGCTGAATGAATATTCAGGTAAGGAACATTCTGGTGCCCGGTGTTGCCGATCCACGCCATATTTGGAATGACTGCAAGAACGACATCAAAAACTGCTCGTCTATTCAGCTTGAAACCTTACAAGGTAGCTCCCTCGCTGACACTCGTTCTTTTCTCCAATCGATATGAAACCCCCACCAAATCCAACCCCTTCGGGGCCTAGCATCTTTACGGCACATCGCCTCGTGTCTACCCCATTTAGGGAACAGCTTTCTTGCTGGCACATTGCCCGGAGTCTGACTCTGATACCCACATCGGTTGGGGAGGTGAACGAAGCACCCTTTATAAGGGTGTGGAAACCTCTCCCTAGGAAACTTGTTTTAAAAACCTCGAGGGGAAGCTCGAAAAAGAAAGCCCAAAAAAAATAATATCGGTTAGTGGTGGGCTTGGGCCGTTACATTCAAAAGTGTTTGTTTTTGTTTTGATCTTTCTGGTTTTGATTTAGATTTCAGGGATAAGTTTTTGAATGCATTGAATGGCTTTGGACACCCTTCATCAAGAGGATTGTTCATAGATTCTTGCTATGCGCATTGCCAAACTGAAATGCAGGAGACATGGCTAAGAGCAGACTCTCCCGAGATCAGTAACACGGTAAATTGATATCGATATCGACATCGACATCGAAAGTCATTACTCGAACGTAACGTCATTTTCTTTGTTCTTGAAAGTACCAACTCTTTTATCAAATTTGAAAATGCAGCCCATTGCAAAGGCGATTGGAGACTGGTTTTTCGACAGGAGTGTGTTCCAGAAGATCGATTGTCCATACCCGTGTAACCCGACATGCCATAACCGCATTTTTTAAACGAAATACGACCCCTAATGACAGGTTTATTAACACAGATTACGTTATTGTTTATAACAGAGAAAAAAAAAACACAAGTATACAGTTTGAATACAATGAAGCATCATTCATCAAGAGCTCGAAAATAAGAAAGAAGGCCGTCGCTGCACCGAACTCGGAGTGTGTCGTCGTCGTCGTTATCGTCTTCGATTGTTTGAATTGTGTATTAGCTTAGCATTTTCATATTGTTTGAGCCTTTGTATTCTATGAAACTGAATATCACATAATATATTATATTCTCTCTATTTATTGTTTGAGCTTTTAATATTCTGCTGATAATCTTTAAAAGATTTGAATAGGCAACTATAAGCCAAGAACACATGCAATGAACACGCTCGTTGAACCTATAAGCCATCTTATGAGTGCTTGATCAACCATGCACCGTTCCCCCACGCTCATTTTAAGCCATCCTAGATGTACCATTCCTCTCGAGTTGACTACGATTTTGAACGTTTATGGTTGAGTATGTACTTTGTTGACTATAAGTCTTTTTAGGAACGCTTGATCAACAATGCACCGTTTCCCCCACGCTGGTTTTAAGTCATCCTAGATGTACCATTTCTCTCGAGTTGACTACAAGTTTGAACGTTCATGGTTGAGTATGTACTTTGTTGACTATAAGTCTTCTTAGGAACGCTTGATCAACAATGCACCGTTTCCCCCATGGTAATTTTAGGTCATCCTAGATGTACCATTCCTCTCGAGTTGACTACGGTTTTGAGCGTTCATGGTTGAGTATGTACTTTGTTGACTATAAGTCTTCTTAGGAACGCTTGATCAACAATGCACCGTTTCCCCGCACTGATTTTAAATCATCCTAGATGTACCATTCCTCTCGAGTTGACTACAGTTTTGAACGTTCATGATTGAGTATGTATTTTTAAATAAATAGTAATAATAATTAACTCGTACTTACCATTTTTGTAATCCCATATTAATTGGAGAAGGGAACGATTTATTGTTTTATAAGGGAGGCTAACAGGGATATGTAACGGGTTAAAGCGGACAATATCTAGTAGCGATGGGTTTAGACTATTACAAATGTTATTAGAGCCAGACACTGAGTGGTGTGCCAATAAGTACGTGAGCCCCGAAAGGGGTGGACACTGGGCGGTGTGCCAACGAGAACGTTGAGCTTCAAAGGGGGTGGACACTGGGCAGTGTGCTAACGAAGACGCTAGATCGTGAAGGGAGGTGGATTGTGAGATCCTACATCAATTGAAGAGGGGGACGAGTGACAGGGAGGACGTTGGAACCACGAAGAGGCTGGATTGTAAGAAATACGCGTTTTAAAAACTTTGAGGAGAAGTCTGAAACGAGAAGTCCAAAAGAGAAAGTTAGTCCAAATGTCCTTGTGAGGTTGAGTTTCTGTCTGAACAAATATGTAACCTAATTTGCAAGCTTTTAAAAATTAAAAAATAAATAAACAATATCCTCTAGGAGACCTAAATTTAATAATTTATAATTTAATATAGCATAAGAAAAATTTAGTCGTCCCGGTAAATGTCTTCAACCAATTCGGACGAACGAGATATTTGCTAGAGCTCACTGGTTCATTTCCATGGAAGCTTAAGACGACCGGAGGGTTTCGCGTAAATGGAAGCTTGGAACAAATGCGCATCCGGCAGCAATGGCACCATCGGTAACCAACGCCCAACGCCATGTTGAATCTATGTGCTCGGATAACGTTTTTAATGAATGTTTGTTTGTTTATTGTAGGTCAGGTATCGAAGGCTGCTGTCTCGATCAATTATGATCCAACTAGACCTTCCCGCTTGCTGTCGACTGTGTAAGTCGTCTGGATTTCCGCTTTGAATGTGCTCGTAACTTGCAATTTCGTGTGTTCGTTGTTGTCTAGGGTTCTTGGCGATTGATTTCTTATGCACTTCACTTTGTTGATTGATAACTTGCAATTTTTTATGCACATGTGGCTTAATTTAACATCTCATATCTTTTGTTTGCTTTTTTGGTCTCTTCTCGAGATTTGTCTGAAGGATAAAATTTAGTATTTAATTGTGATTTTATTGAAGTTTGAGCATTGAGCTGAAGCATTAGGATGGATCCCACGCATCCCTTTGTATAACGATGCAGTCTTTGGGCATTAGACATGTTTATTTGTCTAAGCTTTTGCTTTCAATCATTATTCTATTATGTTCTTTCATGATTCGTTTGTTTATTTAAAAGATCCTAATGTTATAGAGTGGTAATTGTCTATATGTTCAAGCTCATTGCTAATAGATATTATCCTCTTTGAGCTTCCCCTTTCGAGTTTGTCATCAAGATTATATTTTCGCCCACTTTTATCAGATATTGTCTTGTTTGAGTTTTCCCGGCCTCCTCTCAAGGTTATATAGTCTTCCTTGGATTTTCACTTTCGAGCTTCACCTCACGATTCTATTATTCTCTTTGAGCTTTTCTTTTCGGAGTTTTCTTCAAGGCTTTTAAAACGCGTCTGTTAGTGAAAGATTTCCACATCCTTATAAAGAATGTTTCGTTCTTCTCTCCAGCCAATGTGTGATCTCACAATCCACTCCCCTTCAGTGCTCAATGTCCTCTCTAGCACACCACTCGATACCTAGTTCCGATACCATTTGTAACAGCCCAAGCCCACCGTTAATAGATATTGTCTGCTTTAGCCAGTTACGTATTGCCGTCCGCCTCACGGTTTTAAAATACATCTACTAGGAAGATGTTTCCACAACTTTACAAAAAATATTTCGTTCCTCTTTCCAACCGACGTTGGATCTCACAAGTAATATATCTAAATGTAAAAGTACTAAGGGCAGGATAAGGTATTCTCTGTGGAAAAAGAAAACCTCCCAATGCCATTGGATTACAGCAGAATAATGCTTATGGAACAGTTGAAACTGTAGAGATAATTATGTAGAAACCAAGAACACACTAGAACAGTTCTGATATCAACTAGCCTTTTCTATCTTTACCTTGAAACTTGGGATGTCTTCTTTTAATCCAATATTCTCGGGCAATAGCAACCACCAAATGGACCAAAGGGCTTTTAGCTTTTTTCTACAACTCGTGAGTTGTGACATAAAGAGACTGTATTAATAACAATATTAGCAATTGCTTCTCTGCCATTCATGCTGTATTAGTTACAACATAAATATGTAGTTTGGTTTTTATCGAGACGAATCTAACATGGATGGAACTTTATTTTTATGAGGTCCCACCTCGATTGGAGAGTGGAACAAAATATTCCTTACAAGGGTGTAGAAGCTTTCTCCGTAGTAGACGTGTTTTAAAACCGTAAAGGTTACGACAATACGTAATGAGTCAAAACAGACAATGTCTGCTAGTGATGAGATTGGATTGTTACAAATGGTATCAGTGTCAAACACTGAGCTCCCAAGAGAGGTGAATTGTGAAGTTCCATATCGATTAGAGAGGAGAACAAAACATTCGTTGTAGAAAATAAGACTCTTTAGTTGCCTTGTAATAAAAACCTTGGAATGACAAATCTAACTAATAGAACAGAATGACAAGTCCTTGACTCATTATCTAACTGATATGAAATTTTAGCTGCTTCTTCCGTGTTTCATTACAAAGATCTACTACTTCATCACTAGAATTCTTTCAACCGTTAATTGGCAAATGAAGAAAAATACAAATATTTTTTCTTCAAGCAACTTTCGATCAGCATTTTGACGGTTTAAACCGATGTTATTTGATATCGGTCAATATAGACCTAAGTTTGTAGTATGCTTTATTTATTTATTTATTATTATTATTTATTTATTTATGATATGAACATAACTCAAATGATTAAAATAGGTACCATCGACTATAAATTTAACTAAAACAAGTGTAAATAATGTTCTCTAATAAATTTAATTTTAATTTTTGGAGCTTGCTTCACTAAATTCTTGTTTGTTCGGTTACTGCGACTTGTGGTCGGGTTTTTAAATTTGAAAGTGTTGGGGGCTTCTTGTGCAAATTTTGTGGAAGTTTTGCATTAAAAATAAATAAAAGTGAATTAATTTTTTTAGTTACCCGCCACAATTTCAACAAAGAAAAAGAAAATGATGGGAAGATGAGAACTGGAAAACAAAGGAAGGCCCAAGAAGAAAGTACACAAAACTGAGCCCGGTGGCCCAGGGGGTGCAATTTTCGAAGGGTCGGGTGTTTGAATTTTTCCCTCAAACGGAGGCAGAGAAAACGGCATGTTCTTCGTCTTTTCGATCTGAAAATCAATCAACATCGCTCAACTTTAATTTATCTATTGCTATTAAATCCTCACTCAAAATTACGCTACATGGGTTCCTCATCATTTGCTTTGCTTCGCTTAGCATTTGGATAATCAAGAAAGGGACCCCATTTCCGTTCCACATCTCTGCTCTGCAAGTTATTTTATCTCTTTCCCTCATCTACTCGCCACAATATGCTTCCAATCCCATGCTTTCCTTTCTTTTTTACTTTCCCAATTCTCCTTCCTTCCTTTTAATCTCTCATTAATTTGAAATCGGTGTTTATGGAGATTTTCTAGATCTGGATTGTTCAAATCTTTGCCACTTTTTGGATTTTTCCATGGAGTAGGATCGGCGTTGGTTTCGAGGGATGGGATCCAGCGGGAGTAAACCGTCGAGCAGTTCGCTGCCGTCGCCGCCGCCGTCTTCATCGTCGTTGGCGGCGACTCTGTCGAGTTCCGGGAGAATCCGGAGGAGGAGATCCAAAGGCCGGAGAGTTTTCCAGTGTTCTTGCCTTGGGACGCTCTCTGGATCGCACCATAGCGACAATGACGATAATGTACGGGATTTTCTCCCCCTTTTTTTTTCAAGATGGATTGAGATTCGAATTTCTGCATCTTTGTAGGTGTTTTTTATTGTTTTGCCATTCGATTTCTGGAGAATGGACTTCATATTTGCACAAAACTTAGTAGTGTTTTAACTTTGCGTTGTCTTTTGTCTTTCGATTCATGTTAATTTTCTTGTTTATATTTCTATAGAACTCCAGCATGTTCTGCCCATGCAATTTGGATTATTGTATAAATGGTTCTTGTATTTGATTTATGATGGGCAGTTTTAATTTCTAATGATCTCTATGAACAAAATTAGAGGTTGATTGACGATGTTCATTATGTTCACTTGGGCTATGTGTTCTTCTGCAGGATTGTGAAAGTGATAACAAAAAGAATGCTCATTATTGTTCATCTGCAAATCATACTGCTCAAGCATTAGATCAGAAGAAAATTGAGGGTTACAGAAGGGTCAAAGCTGAGGAGTCTGTTGAAGCACCTTGCGTAACGTCGAATGTTGAACTTGATGGATGGGATCAGACCGGTGGTGCTGTTATTGCCCCTAGAGCTGGTAGTACTTCTTCCCATGCAACCTCCCTCGAACCGTTGAAGTCTTCGAGTAACTTCCTTTCTCGCTTTAGTTTCGTTCCCGGTAATGTAAGCTTCAGACTGAGTAGAGCAAGCAGGTTAGGATCATCTAGATCTTATCCTTTGTCTTCAACTAATCTCTCAATGTTGAATGACGAAGACGGGCTTCGTTTGTCGAATGGACCTGTCGGAGGCTTGGATGATCGAGATGAAATGCAGCAAGGTAGGGACTCGCTTCCTGCATCCTTAGCTAGTGCAACTCATACTGAGTATCATGGAGATGGTCCTTCTAATTTTAGGCTAAATACACTACCTTCTGATCTTTCTACTAACTTACAAGACAATCAGGCAGTTTCTTCTACCCACGATGTGGCTCGTGATAATGCACAAGTAGAGCCTGATGGTAACGTTTCCCATCCTCGAAATCTACCTGAAAATGAAAGCAGTGAGATTAGACAATCTGATAGACAGACTGGATCTAGGGAACCAGTTGAACAGAATTTTCGTTTCAGTCGGACCCTTAGCGTTGGAAGACTCCGTGATAGGGTTCTTCGTAGATCATCGTTATCTGACTTCACATTGTGTCCTCAGCAACAAGAGGGAGAGGAGAGAGATGCTAGTCAGAGTGGCGATGACCGACATGTTCGGACTGCTGAGACAAGGGCTTCATCATCTGAAGATAATGCTATGACCTCTCCAACAACGTCAGGTTATCCAGCTTCTAGTCTATCTAGTTCCCTGTTTAGCACCCAAGATAATGAAATGGAAACCACTCGGCCTCGAGAAGCTAGATATCACGATTTGCTCGAACACCGGTCAAATTTCCTTGAACGGAGAAGACGAATACGTTCCCAGGTTTGTAATTATTCTTGATGGAGTTCATTTTTATGCTATGGTAGAGATACAATAGTATAAAAATGTTGTAATGTTGGTCTTTTTTTCTCTCTTGAATCCACTCATTCAGGTTCGTGCCCTACAGCGGTTGGGAAGTCGCTTTGAGAACCTATCTGGGCACGAGAGATCGTGTATATTATCTGGTCAACATAGGACCAGTCATTGTACTTGTCGTATCAATAATCGTGACACAAATGTAAATGATAACACTGATGCTAGAGCTAGTATATCAAGAATTGTAATGTTAGCTGAAGCCTTATTTGAGGTAAGTCAATGTTCTGTCATCTTCTCTGCTTACTTTCCTCGCATTTTATCTATACTATTGAATCTCTGTACTTAATTTAATTAGGTTCTGGATGAAATTCACCAGCAATCTGTAGTCTTATCGTCCCGTCCTGCATCTTCGATTGGCTCTCTGCCTGCTCCGAACGATGTTGTAGATTCTATGCCCGTTAAATTTTATTCCAAGTTGCAAAAGCATCAAAACGAGGAAGCTGCCCAGTAAGCATATGCTCTTTCTTGTTTAAGACATTCATTCCACATATTCTTTCGCACGCATAGCTCTTTTCGTGTTTAGTCCAACATTTGTCTGATGTGCCCCACCTTTTATACTATAAATCCACAGATGCTACATATGCCTGGTCGAGTACGATGAAGGAGACAGCATGAGAGTGTTGCCTTGCCATCATGAGTTTCACACAGCGTGTGTCGATAAGTGGCTGAAGGAAATCCACAGGTATTAACTGGTTCACATACCGTTTTCTGCATCTCGAACTGTATACAATTAGCATGCATGGATGAATGCCTCATTTTCTGGTATTTTTGGAACATCATACACTGGCTTTCACAGACATCATCATTCATGGGGTGGGCCTGACTTGATAATACTCATATTAGATACATTGTGCCTCAACCAATGACTGGTTGAACAGTCGAACAAATGAATCCTACTTTTGACTCGATCGATGTGTATAGTTTTCACGCTACTGAAGTTCGAGCAACCTCACTTGCTCGTCTGTGTTATTATGCAGGGTATGCCCCCTCTGTCGAGGTGACATATGCAGCAGCAGATCGGATGCGTTACCAGACGATGTCACGTGAAGGCAATTCATTTCGAAAACCCGCTGTCTGTGATTCTTTTTGGTTGGCTGGTGAGAATATTGTAAGGGAAAAGATGATGAATGGGTATGAAAATGATGCTGAAATTCTGGTTTTTGTTCTATGATTTGTGGTGTCCTTTTATAAGTATTGACTTGCTAGAGTGTTGTAATGAAAATGGACCCAAAAGAGAATCTCATGAGCCTTCTTCTCCTATCCAAGATTGTGAATAAGATAATGAAAGTCTTTTCTCTACACTTTTTGTCTTTTTCCCCACTTTTTCCCATAAATTTTGTTTTTTTATTGCTTAATTAACCTTTTCATTTAATTTAAGAAATAAACCAAAATTTCCCATAAATTATTTTTTAATTATAAATATTTATAAGTTTATCTAGCTTAATCTAAATTCTGATATCAAGGTAATTTTTATATTAAATTTAACATAAGAAGTAGATAAAAAAAATTTATTCCAACTTATTTGAAATTTTTATTTTACTTTATATATATATTTATATCATGAATCCAAACATGCTTAATTAAGCAATATATTTAATAAATACAAATTTAAATTTCTGCCCAATATAAGTGGAGGAAATATATTGATGAATAAAAGAAAAAAGAGAAATAAAGAGTGCGAGAAAAAAAAAAGAAAAAAAAAGATCAATTAATTGAGATTTTTTTAATATATATATATATAGTTGTCTGTTTTTTAATTTTCTGTATCGGGAAGAGAGATTTGTTTGTTTGCTTAATCAGCTATGAGCGCGAGGCAAAGGCGCGTCGTCTTGCCGGAGGCAATGGGCGGGAAGGATAGCTGCAATCGGAATTCTTAAGAGCTACTGGTTCGAACGAATCAATGTAATTCGATATTGTTTGTAAGTAAGTAAGTTGCAAGAATTCGACGAAGATGAGCGGCAGCTTGAACGACGATAGTTTCCATCAAGATCTTCAACCCCGAGCCAATAATGTTTCCGACTATTTGTCGCACCAGCTTCAACCTCCGCCGCCGCCGCCTCGTCGTCCTCGTGGCTTTGCCGCCACCGCTGCTGCTATAGGACAGACAACTTCCACGGCTTCTGCTACTGGCGGCAAGGCAAAGAGAGAGAGAGAGAAGGAAAAAGAGCGGACGAAGCTTCGTGAGCGCCATCGCCGAGCCATTACTAGTCGAATACTGGCGGGACTCCGCCAGTATGGTAACTTCCCCCTTCCTTCTCGCGCTGATATGAATGATGTGCTGGCCGCGCTTGCTAGGGAGGCTGGTTGGGTTGTCGAGGCCAATGGCACCACATACAGGCACTCCACTCCGCCTTCTCAGTCCCAAGAGGTTGGTTAAACTTTTCGCGCTTTTTTAAAGAGTCATTGTCACGCTAATTTTTTTGTACTTAGTTTACCTCTATGAATTCTTTAAATCAATCATGGATTGATCTCTGATGCCACTAAAAGTATCGAAAATGACGAACATGATTTGAAGGAACACGACAAGAGCATTACTCTGAAATTGCTAATGATGAATGCTGCAAAAGGAAATATGGAACGTAAATGAAGTGTCAACGACAGGTGATAGTAACACAGGCTCAACAATCAACTCATTGCTTATTTTCGCAGTTTTAACGATACTTTTAGAGCAAATGGTAATTTAAGACTTGTGCTATAATTTAGGTATGGATATCTGGCAATGCTTCATAAGTTTTTACTGTCGTTGGAAAACCTTTGTGCATCTGTCGTATATGGTTGCCTTTATTCTAGCAAACAACGTAGATTGTGTTAAGAGTTTAAACTTGAGGAAGATGATATAGATCGAACACTTTGGACTCTACCTGTCTTGCCAATTAGGATTATAAGATATAAAATATGTCATCATACAAAAAGTATGCTCTAATTTGGTTGTCCTAGTTTCTATGCTGCTGCTTAAATCCACTGTATTATCCGTTCTTTCTAAAGCCTTGGTTACTGTTGATTGTAAATACTTCACAGGCAGCATTTCCTGTAAGGTCAGGTGAAAGTCCTATCTCATCTGGTTCTTTTAAGAGTTGCTCTATTAAAGCAGCTTTAGATTGTCAGCCATCTGTTCACAGAATTGATGAGAGCTTGTCTCCAGCATCTTTAGATTCGGTTGTTATCACGGAAAGAGATGCAAAGAATGAGAAGTATGCAGCTTTGAGCCCTCTTAACTCAGCTCACTGCCTGGAAGATCAGGTAAGTTTTTTCACTAACTAGCTCCTTTTCTCCCATCCAACTTTATTGTGCTGTGCTAATTTCTTAGAAAAGTAACGTAGTATTATTTAAATAACTTTAAGTTAAACCTTTTGTTTCCTTTCACATGTGTAAGTGATGTTTTATTGTACATCAGGTATTCCTAATGCCTTCAAGGACATGAAAGTCCTCTACTTCATTTTACAAAGATGGACCAGTTAGGACATTGACAATGTAAAGCATACATACGTAGTGTTAATATAGAGATTTATCTATTTTGGATGGAACAAAGAGGTCTAAGTAATGAATTAGATTCCATTCATCCTGTATATGTCTCTCTCAAGTGACGCATGATGCTATGTCCTAAAAAAGGCTGAAGTCTTCCATTGTAGTTGAGAAATAAAATGATGGGTTGCCCCTTCTGCATAGGAAATTAAGAAACTGTTGATATTGTCAAAATTTATTGGTTCATTTTCACTTTAATTGTGATTCTAAGCTATAATTTATTTTATTTTTATTTTTATTTTTATTTTAAATTTTGGGAAGTATTACTGTAGATGTCTGATCCGTATCAAAACTCTGTGATGTATCAAGCACGTTCCTTTATATATCTGCCTGCTTCCCTGATTTTTTTTTTTTTAAAGATTTTGAGTTTGAAAAATCTAACTTTTGGTCAACTGATGCACAGCTTATACAAGATATTCGCCCTAGGGAGAATGAGAGTCAGTTCAGAGGCACTCCTTATGTCCCTGTTTATGTAATGCTTTCAGTAAGTGGTTTTTTTTTTTTTTTTTTTTTTTTTTTTTTTTTTTTTTTTTTTTTTTTTTTTT